TTCTAAAGAGGCCGGGAACGGTTTCTTCTCTTCCGAGAATGCTGAAAGTGTCCGATAGGATCGATAGCAACAAGAGGATCGTAACGTTACGGCACGGTTTGCGGGGCGAAAGTTACGAGGACAGGAAGTGACCAATAGTAAATTCTGCCACGTGATTTCGGTACCGGGGTTTCCGTCCTCGGGAAGTGTTACCCCACATATGAGCCGAAACGGTCCTTCTGACCTATGACCTCTCGCTTTATCCCGGCGGCCATCATTTTGACAAGTTTATCGCCGGGTCGTCTGATAGAACGCCGACCTGGAGGATCCCTTTGTCTTTATCGGAGTAAAAAGGGTCACCGTTTCGGGGAATAGGAAAAACGTGACGTATATGAAGGGGAGAAATCTTTAATGGATCTTCAGATCATTTATTTTACGAAAATCTTGAAGTTCTCTTATAAATGATGTCGACAATTTTTTATTAATATTTTTTATTTTACATGGTCTTGTTAACTCCTTATTCTTTGACTTATTTGATGTGTCAGAACTAATCACAGTTGCGATATTAAAACAGACAATGAAAGTTGAAACTTTATTTCAACTTAGTATCAGTGACTGTAAAGAACGAGTTAAAAGAATTTAAAAATTTTTATAATATTGAAATTGTACGTATAACGAGAAGGAATTGCTGGAACAAAAAGATGAGAGATAGTTTCTGACGTTTCCGGTCAAAGTGCAAACGATCGGGTGAAATAGCAGGAGCGTAACAAGGACAGTAACAGAAGTGACAGATTTCAAATGAACGAGGTTCGCTGCAAAAAGCGATGGCCAATGGCGCGGAAAAGGGAAAGCTCGACAGAAGGAAGTATAACACGCCGGTGGAAACTGAAACGTAAAACGAATAAATAGATGTGTCGCGCGACGAAAGAATGCCGAAGAATCAAAGATAAATCTGGAAATTGCGAAACAGACGAACAGAGGGCGAAGCAAAATTGAAAGATCAAAGCGTCAGGTCGATGAAACTCGTCGTAGAAAGGAATCCTTGCGAAAGAAAAGAAAACTTGCGCGGATCGATGAAACGAGCGAGACGCGTGAAAGCATCGAATTGAAAAATACCAGAAAGAAAACGAAAGGACGAAGATGTTACGTTCGTTGAAAGAACGGGTATCCAGGAAGACAAATTCCAGGACTATCCTGGACACCGGCCAAGACCACATTCTCTATCAGACGGAGAAGGACGTTTCGATTCTCCGGAGGTTTCGAATGATCGATAATCAACGAGCTAACTTCGATAAGGCGGATTTTTCCAGCTGGAAATCTCCGATTCCGGACATCAGTGATTAAGTTTCATTTCTATCTACACTTCTTCTCCATCGGGAGTTTTGTAATGTCGGAATGAATTATGGAATCTTGGAATTGTCAATGGCGCTTCGAGGAAAGATGTTTCTTTTTAAAGAGAGAACTTTGCTGATTTGTATGAGTTGGAGATAGTTGGGATGATATTGGATTATGGAGATTATAGTGATTCGGCGCGTAGCAATTCGACGCATAGTAATTCGACGCGTGATAATTCGGTGCGTGGTAATTCAACACATGGTAGTTTGACGCGTGAAAAAAATTTAGCGCGTGGTAACTCGACGCGTGGTAATTCGACCCGTAGAATTCCAGCGCGCGGTAATTCGACCCGTAGAGCTCCAGCGCGTGGTAATTCGATGCGTGGTAATTCGACCCGTAGAATTCCAGCGCGTGGTAGTTCGATCCGTGGTAATTCGATCCGTAGAGTTCCAGAGCGTGGTAATTCGACCCGTAGAATTCCAACGCGTGGTAATTCGACCCGTAGGAATTCCAGAGCGTGGTAATTCGATCCGTGGAGTTCCAGCGCGTGGTAATTCGATCCGTAGAATTCCAACGCGTGGTAATTCGACGCGTGGAGATACGACGCGTGGTAATTCGGCGCGTGGTAATTCTACGCACGCGTGGTAATTCGATACATGGTAATTCGACGCGTTACTATCTCCACGCGTGGTAATTCGACGCGTTACTATCTCCACGCGTGGTAATTCGACGCGTTACTATCTCCACGCGTGGTAATTCGACGCGTTACTATCTCCACGCGTGGTAATTCGACGCGTTACTATCTCCACGCGTGGTAATTCGACGCGTTACTATCTCCACGCTCCGTGGAGTTCCAGCGCGTGGTAGTTCGATCCGTGGTAATTCGATCCGTGGAGTTCCAGAGCGTGGTAATACGACCCGTAGAATTCCAACGCGTGGTAATTCGACCCGTAGTATTCCAGAGCGTGGTAATTCAATCCGTGGAGTTCCAGCGCGTGGTAATTCGATGCGTGGTAATTCGATCCGTGGAGTTCCAGCGCTTGGTAATTCGACCCGTAGAATTCCAGCGTGTAGTAATTCGATCCGTGGAGTTCCAGCGCGTGGTAATTTGATGCGTGGTAATTCGACCCGTAGAATTCCAGCGCGTGGTAATTCGATACGTGGTAATTCGATCCGTGGAGTTCCAGCGCTTGGTAATTCGACCTGTAGAATTCCAACGCGTGGTAATTCGATGCATTGTAACTCGATAATTCAACACACGAAATCAGTCCAATAAATTACGTAGAATTCCAACGCGTGGTAATTCGATGCATTGTAACTCGATAATTCAACACACGAAATCAGTCCAATAAATTACGCTGCCTGAAATAATGATCGTACGCCCAATTTTATACAAAATAATTCTCAGCAAACTACCACAAGGAAACAGCGTATAAAAACGTTTAAAAATCACCGTGAAACTCTCACTACCTAAACAACGCAACAAAGCAGCGTACATAATCGTATTTACGATCTCTTACACCGCAGCTCCGCTAAAAACACCCTAAACAACGGGGGAACTGTAGAACTGCAACCTTAAAAGCCCTCCATCAGCAGAAGATTAAGTGCCGGCTGTTGTTCGGCGCAATAACACAATAACTCTTGGTAGTGCGACGAAATAACGCAATAACTCGCGCTTTTCCCGCAAGCAGGTATGCATCGAGCGTCGACAAGCGGAACGGGAGGAGGTGGGTAGTCGTTTGAACGATGCGTTTCCGGTTGAAGGAACGAAGAGTCGAAGCAAAGGTACGAGGCGGTTATAGGCTGGTCGCGTTGTAAGAGCCATTAATAAGGACTGCCTAATTTCATGAAAGCCCCGGAGCCTCGAACTATTATCTAGGAAACGTAACTCGGTCGAAGAGCGATTAAACGGACGCCACCAAAATACGTCAAGCTGCGGCGGGCTGCGGCTGACAGAAAACCTATAGACGGAACAACCATTAATGAAATGACAAATGTGTTCTTGTCGGCGGCACGAGCAGCAGGAGCAAGCGAGCGAACGCTTACAAGCCTGTCACTGGCTACGCTGCAAAATAAAATATATATTCGACCGCGTGATTTACGCGGAAACGAGTCTATGACGTCGTCCAGCGAGAACGTCGACTATCGTTCGATTGATCGTTAGCTTCTGTTAGAAATTTGTATCGATCATTCCTACATTGTTCTATTGCCAAATGCTGCGTTCTTTGTCTGCGAATTCCGTGCAGATGGAATCAAGACTCTCGTAAATTTTGGAATGGATCTCTGAAACTGTGATGGAAATTTTAGTGAAGATAGTTGCGTATTTGATCTAAATTTTCTTTGAAATTCTCTGCTGATAAAGTAAGAACTTTCTCATCTATTTTAGATATAATGTGAACTTGAACAGGTTAATACGGTTTATGGAATATACGGGTTATTTTGGTTTTGATTAATCTCCTTGGCTTTAGAGCAAGCGATTCGTGATTTATAGTAGATGCTGCACGATGAAGTCCGAGGAGAAGCACCTACGGTGCGATCGCGTGATACTCTGCCATGGATATTGGTCTTATTTCAAATAATATTGCTTCCAACGCTTCAACAGGTAGGATGCTTTATGGAAGAAGGCAAAGCCTGCGTGAATTGTGGTCCACGACTATTTTCCATATAAAAATAGAGATAAGAGGATATAGAGTTGGCTAGAATTCAAAGGATTTAAAGTTTCTTTAAAAAGACCGCATCCCCATATTTGTATGAATAATTTTTATTCTTCGAAAAGAACTCTGACTGAAGTAAGATATAGTTTACAAAATTGCTGTTCAAGTTACAATGCAGGTAAAATATTTTTGACAAAATGGCTGCTCAAACGTACAAGTAAAATATATTTAACAAAATGGCTGTTCAAAAGTATTGGTAAAATGTATTTAACAAAATTGCTGTTCAAAAGTATACATAAAATATATTTCACAAAATGGCTGTTGAAATAAAAATGCTACTAAAATATCTTCAACAAAATGGCTGTTCAAATGTACACGTAGAATGTCTTTTACAAAATGGCTGATCGAAAGTGCAGATAAAATGTCTTCAACAAAATGGCTGATCAAAAGTGCAGATAAAATGTCTTCAACAAAATGGCTGATCAAAAGTGCAGATAAAGTGTCTTCAACAAACTGCCTGATCAAAAGTGCAGATAAAGGATCTTCAACTAAATGGCTGATCAAAATTCCAGATAAAATGTCTTCAACAAAATGGCTACTGAAAAGAACAGCTAAAACATCTTCAACAAAAAAGCAGCTGAAATAAAAATCCAAGTAAAATTTATTTAATAAAATTCACCAATGACCTTCACCCACTTCCATAACCTTGACAAACACTACAAAATGCACCTTTTAGAGTAATCTTCAAGTCAGAAGGTTAAAAGCTCTTGTCCGTAGAAAAGTTGGAAAACAAACAGAAAGTGGTTATATTAATTAGCATAATTAGCTTCTGGAAGATCCATAAAAGCAGGATCTCGTGTAACTCTCTTTAAAAGATCACAAACAACGTTTAAAAAAGAATAAACAGCAAATTAAGCAAGTAACTCGGCAACTTCGTTCGCAAAGCTATCGCCCGCGCCTTGAACCGAAACAAACGACCTAAGCACACCAATGGTACTTAATTTAATTTCTTCTTGTTCGTGTTCGTTTCAGGAGAGCTACCAGCCGCAGTGCACGACGGTAACGGGGTCTCCAGGGCGTTTCTGAACCTCTGGCTAATCCACTTAACCATAAGCTACGTCTTCTCTAGATGACAATACTAAGGTGAGTTCGATCATTAAACAATACGGGTTAAACTTCAATCGAAGATCAAATTCTGTTGATTGGTTGACGTTAGTGAATTAGTTCTAAGTGTTATAGCAATCAGGAAATTGAAACAGAAATTGTATAAACATTTATATAATTGTGATACTTTTATAGATGTACGTATGTGTACATATGTGTAGCAACATACGTGGATGTATTTGAAGTTCATGTTCAATTATATATTCTTGTTTTGAAAATTTCAGAAACATATTTAATTATAAAAATACAGATGAAATTGTATAAACATTTATATAATTGTGATACTTTTATAGATGTACGTATGTGTACATATGTGTACTAACATATGTGGAGATATTTGAAGTTCATGTTCAATTATATATTCTTGTTTTGAAAATTTCAAAAACATATTTAATTATAAAAATACAGATGAAATTGTATAAACATTTATATAATTGTGATACTTTTATAGATGTACGTATGCGTACATATGTGTAGCAGCATATGTGGATGTATTTGAAGTTCATGTTCAATGATATATTCTTTGTTTGAAAATTTAAAAAATGTACTCAATTATAAAAATATTGATCTCAAACTTTATAGAAGATTAATCTAACTGATGATGATAAATATTTCATAATTGAAGAACATTTAAAATATAAAATTGTAGAAATGGTTATAAAATTAATTATTTTACGACGAGTATTTATGTGCCACCCTCCAATATTTTATGGCAATAGCCCATCTATAACCCCAATAAAATTCAAATTACCTCTACTTTGCAATCGACAGTTCTACAATAAGACCCTTCAGATTGAAGTGCATTGTTTCGAGAAACGGGGTTCGAACGTCTTCAAAAACATGCTCCGATTGAAATTTATTCACCGAATAAATACTCGATTATTCGCCGTTCCCTATAGCCGTAGCAACTCTATTAACGCTCTCAGCTGCGTTAAAACTTCAGCAGACGTTTCGTAACCATGCTTTGTTCTTCGGCAATCTCGTAAAACGTAAACCGTGTAAAATCCAATTAATCGGATTCGATTTCGTAACGTGCCACAATCGAGAGACCCGAATTCCAATCATCCTGATTCGATTTTCCTGTTTTTCCAAGATACAGACATTCCAGTCCACGTAAATCAAGCATAAATCCTTGATCGAGCTACGATTTACGGGAATTTGTTTATTAAACCTTCACCGCTTCGGGCTGCGAAAGTTTCCGGAAATTTACCTCAAAATACCCGGTATCTTGTGAATTTTAATCGAGAAAATTGAATCGTCGGTGAAAACTCGATAACCGCAACACCACAGAGAGAAACTTAACAAAAGCGAACGGAGATTTCTAGAACCAGCCAGAAATGAGCGATCAATTTCCCCTGCTTTGATGCTAAAGTATCAAGTTCTTGTTCCGTGAGATCGGTTAATTTGTTAGGGCGTTTTATCTGATTCATTAAATTACGTTTCAGAATGTCGAGGAAAGTATTATGTTGATTCAAAGGACTTATTTGCATCTTGGAGTAATTGTGTACCTACACGCGATGGGAAATAATGGCATCAGATTGTATCGTGGGAAAATTAATTGTGTCGAATTAGTACGTGATGAATTACTTCGAGTCAAGTATACATGCTGAGTTACAAATAATGTTACCATGTAAGGAATTAGTATTGGTCGAATTATAATGCGTTGAATCACTAGGCAGTGAATGGACGATGTCTCGAGTTCATCATGTGTTGAGTTCGTAGTAGTCGAATTAGTATGTGACGAGTTAATCTTGTGTGGAATTAGTACGTATTGAATTACTGTGCGCTGGAAGAACGTGGAATTGTACGGGTCGAGTTACCAGGTATCGAATTACCACGCGCTAGAAGTCTACGGATCGAATTACCACGCGTTGGAAGTCTACGGATCGAATTACCACGTATCGAATTACCACGCGTTGGAAGTCTACGGATCGAATTATCGCGCGCTGGAATTCTACGGATCGAATTACCACGCGTCGAATTACCACGCACCGAGTTACCACGCGCCGAATATCCACGCGTCGAATATCTACGCACCGAGTTACCACGCGTAGAGTTCCCAAGCGCCAAATTTCCACGCGTAGAATTCCCACGCGCCAAATTTCCACGCGTGGAATTACTACGCGCCGAATTTCCACGCGTAGAATTCCCACGCGCCAAATTTCCACGCATGGCATAACCAACGCGTAGAATTACTACGCATTGAATTCCCACGTGCTGAATCCCCACGCGTAGAGTTTCCACGCGCCAAATTTCCACGCGTGGAATTACTACGCGCCGAATTTCCACGCGTAGAATTCCCACGCGCCAAATTTCCACGCGTGGAATTACCAACGCGTGGAATTACTACGCGTTGAATTTCCATGCGTGGAGTTACCAACGCGTCGAATTTCCACGCGTGGAGTTACCAACGCGTCGAATTACTACGCGCCAAATTTCCGCGCGTAGGGTTCCCACGCGCCAAATTTCTATGCGTCGAATTACTACGCGACGAATTACTACGCGTTGAATCTCAGCGCCCCAATTACCCTTGTAATCGATGTACGTTGAAGTACGACGTCGATCGAATAAGTGCCGAATCACCGCACAATCTACCGCGCGTGGAATTAAAATACGTCCAAAAACTCGAATCCGAGCGTGGTACTTGAATTCAACAGAAAAGTCAGTAGAAAAAATAGACAAGCCGGTAGAAGTGAACTGCGCCGGAAGTGAGAGCAGCTAACAAGACCGATAAAAAGCAAACGAAAATAGTCGAAAGTAAATAAGAGGAGGAAACCAGCAGTTATTGCGTTGCCGGGAAAATAAAAAAGGGAAACAAAGCGGATAAAAATATAAACAGCAAACAGAAACGAAGCGTGTAAGTTAAAAAGAAGAAACTCGTGGTAACGAGAATCACGCGCTACCGAGGGGAAAGTCCAGTGGAAAACAAAGCTGAAAATCCGGCACGCGAAAGATAAAGGGCGAGAGAAAGGGTGTGAGACTCAGAAGAACAGGGGAAACGAAGAGGAAGATCGTAAAATCGCGAAGGGAGTAAACGGGCTTGGGGGAAAAAAAAGATGGGAAAAGGGTCGGGGCGAGCAAAACGGACGGAATGTGGGGAACAAAGACAGAAGAAACGGAAACGGAGTTGCCAAGGGAGTTCTAAATCCCAGAGAAACACACCAGGAAAAGCGCAGCGAGCAAAAAAAAAATCAGAAGAAAAACACACAGGGGAGAGAAAAGTTGACAGAAATGAAGGAGGAAAAACGGTGGAAAGTAGCGAACCGGTACTCGATCGCTGGCAAACATATTGGTAACGGATAAAAAAGTGGGGATTTTACAAACACTTCAACTGAAGATCGAGGAGAAATCTACGGAAAATGCCTGGTCACGAGAAAAAGAGAAATTGAATGTCAAGGAGTTGCTTTGAGCGGAAAAATAACAGATAAATGGTAAATGAGAAAGTAGAGTACTGGGGAAACTTGAAATACAGCGATGCGAAGTAATGAGGGGTTTATGGGAATGTTAAATGGCTGTGGACATGAGAAAATGGAACGGAGGATTTTTTTTGGGTGGAGCAATTTTCTGGCTGCTCAAATATTTAATTTTTTTTATTTAACTTTGAAGTTTCTGTTACTTCAAATTTCTAATTTTCTAAATTTAGTATTTTCAGCTTCAAATTTGGGGGTGCCTACATTTCTATTCACCCAAATATCAAATTTTTCCAGTTTTTAATTGTTAAAGTTTACAACCCTTAATTTCCACTTTCCCAAATTTGTAACCCCCAAATTCCAATTCTCCAACTTTGTAATCCCTAAATTCTAATTTCTTAACTTCACAACCCCCAAATTCCACTTTCCCAAATTTTCAACCCGTAAATTCCACTTTCCCAACTTCACAACCCCCCAATTCCACTCTCCCAAATTTTCAACCCCCAAGTTCCACTTTCCCAACTTCACAATCTTGAAATTCCATTCTCCCAACTTCACAATCCCCAAATTCCATTTTCCCAACTTCACAACCCCCAAATTCCACTCTCCCAACTTCACAATTCCCAAATTCCACTTTCCCAACTTCACAACCCCCAAATTCCACTCTTCCAACTTCACAACCTCCAAATTCCACTTTCCCAAATTCTCAACCCCCAAATTCCACTTTCCCAACTTCACAACCCCCAAATTCCACTCTTCCAACTTCACAACCCCCCCCCCCTATTCCACTTTTCCAAATTTCCTAACACCCAAATTACAACTTTCCCAAAAAATTTGCACCTTACCACCCATCCACCCCTCAAATTCCCACCCCATAAACTATTCAAATCTCCCAAATTTCCAATCTCATTACACAGCCAGCAATCGAACGTGACGTTTAGAGAAACGACTGGTCGAAGTCAAGAGGGAATAATAATAATGTCGCAAGCACAATGAGGACACCGCACAACTCAAGAGTGCTTCTCGCTTCGGGACGTTAATGATTATAATAATCGGCAAAGTTCTCACGGCAATCATCGCCACCGCGAACGTAATAATACGATCATCCTAATAACCGTAGTTGGCGCACAGTTTTATACGTCCATCAGCTTGTTCTCGAAGTTTCCAACCACTCTCAACGTGTTTCCATCACATTGATCCTATCGTTGAATCTGGACAGTCGGAGGACAGGATCTTATAGCCAGTTCTCGGCAATTATAGTTGAGATGAAATTGAAATCGCATTTGAATTTCCAGGGAACTTCGGGGTTGTTGATGGGAAACTGTTTAGCATTTTATGTTGTTCTTTGATGTTTTGGTATTATAGGTTTTTCTGAAATTTGTGGACAAGTTGTCTACTGGTAATTAAGATCAGTAGTGGTTGAATTTTTGTGTAATTAATTAATAGTTGCTGTAAGTACAATAGAGTGTAGGTGACAAGAGCTGAATTTTGTGAAGAGATTCAGTGTATAATAGAATTATTCATAAGTAGAATTGAACCAAAAATTGCTGTGAAAATAC